GAACACTTTAATTTCACGTTTATTTACACTGGAGAGTAATCAATCCAGTTGATTAGTTCTTGCGAGTTCATCCTTTGGGAAATGTGTCTGGGAGATTGCCCTTGAAGTATTCTGTGTTCTGAAAGGGTTCATCATGGCTGAAGAATTGGCAAGTTGGTTTAATCCAAGTTCACTAAATCCTCACTACTAACCTGATGGCATTATTTCCCCACAAACTAAGATGTGTACGAGTTCGGAGGACGTTCACTGGGTGCAAGAGAGAGAGGCAAGTGATGCGAGAGGAATGGTCACAGATTTTCCTGCATGAGATGTCTGTGAACACTAAGCAATGTCTTTAATCTGCATGTTATGCTTCTATTGCATGCTTCTTTATCTAATATCTTCACACATGGTAAAAGAACAATTAAGTGTTAGACATTAATCACACATACTGTAATTACTGTAGCATTGACAAATGTTTTGCAGCTGCCAGATACAGTAATACTCAATTTGGATGCCACACTGCACATGTAACATGTGCATGAATCTTTCACCTGTAGTTGGTCCAAGGTTTGTTTAAATTGCTTATGGTTGAAAAGCTTCTAGATGCCATCAGCTATTGCCCTTATTCTTCTTTAAGATCATAGATATATACATAAATTTTGCATATGACAAGAATATTTCCCACAACAAAAGACCTAATTTTTTTCTAGACTGACAAAGACTGTGACTTAAGCAGGAACTGTAAACATGCTGTACACTATTAATATTTAAGGCCACCATGGTGAAGGTGGGGTCAACAGTTTCTCTTCCTCTTTTCTCTTGAAAAAGAACTCTCATTCTCAAGAACTGGTTTGGCTTTTTGGTGATCTCTTTCTTGGATAACATTTCAGGTAGCTGGTTTGGATAATTGTTTGGTACTGAAGCCTGGGGACCAAGGTAATTGGAAGGATAAAAAGATAACCCACAACTCGCAAAAGATGCAGGCTTCTCTGTGTGCTTTTTCAGGAGTGAATCACCATTTTTGCTTTCAGAGTTATTCTCCTGTTATATTGGTTTATTCTCTATTGGTAGGATTAACTAACCACCCCTTATGTTCCTTATAGCTAGTTTGTAGGTCAGTGATTATTATGTTCTCCTAGGGTTTATATATATATGTATTTAGTATTTTTTGTGTGTGTTTTTTCATCCTCATAAACTTCCTGAGTCTATGACATGTTAGGCAGAGTATATATATTCCAATAATTCACATTGAATCTTCCTCCCCTCCCATGTTTGCTCCTGCCTGCCCTGCCATCCTCGCTACATGCAGACTCCCCCGAGAAGGTTGAGCTGAAAGGTAGTTAGTCAGTCCTCCTTTCCCAAGTCAAGGGTTCTTGGCCATTGGTACAGATGTATTTAATTCTGATTTCTCTCTATTATAATGTCTTAGTTTTTTGTATATTCTCTCTTCTTGATTTATATATAAACTAATCAGATATAAGGGATGTATATATATTTCTCATATTGCATTGACAGAATTGGTCCTCTATGATTTCTGGATGTCATGACCCAAAACAATCTCCATTACTTTTTTTCAATATGAAGGTGGATTTATAGTATATTTCAATCTACTTTGAGTTTGACAGCTATGTAATGAGGTAATATTTGTAAGCAGGAATAGATAATTAAGATTTCAAAAAAATCATGCTTTTGTTATCAAATTTAGAGAATGACAAATAATATTAGCATTTATGAATTTCAGAAGTGCTTTTTGTAAAACACACGCACAAAAAGAAGTTTGATATATAGAATTCTAGCCTTTTTCTACATTTACATTAGTCAGCCCAAGATCCCTATGAACTCATGAAATCAGAATACATGAAACACTGTTACATATCAATCGTTCAAACAAAATCTAATCTTCTGCATCAAAAAGGTAATGGAGACAACCTAACAGAAGTGGTTCTTGGTTCTCATACTTTCCATGTGCATGAGAATAGACAAACTGTTCATGATTATAGGTGAGGAAATGACACACTTGTGGTGATTTCCCTTTCTTTTGCCGCCTGTGTGGCAACTGTTGGTGATGGTGTTTCCTTGCATAGGGTTTTCAGTCGTTTTCTTTCTCTATCAATTTTTTTTTTTTTTTTTTTTTTTTTTTTTTTTTTGGATTTATGCAAGATTGAGTTTGTCTTTTTGGTGACTGATGATTTTGACATGTGAAGGCTGTTTTGGGGATTATTATAGAATAAGGAGCTCTGATTTTTCTTTTCTGTTTATTATTATTATATTTACATTTGATCTTTCTCCAAAATGCAGTAGATGCTTGTTATGACAGAGTAGTATAATAAAACATTCCTTAAAGGTAGTGATTGATATATATATTTATATATTTATATATATATATATATATATATATATATATATATATATATATATATATATATATTTATATATATATATATTGATATATTGATATATTGATATATTGATATATTTATGTAATTGTATGTCAGATATTATTATTATGCTCTCATAGATTATTGAAGGTATTGCCTTTTTTTTAGACTACCAATTTTATAACAAGAATCTATTGCCTGGAGAAACAAGACAGTCATATGTATGAAGAAATAACATTCAAAGCAGAAGTTATAACATACTCATACTTGTAAAAGATTCAGAAACTTGAGCATATATATAATGAAATATGTTATATCTTCTTTATGACTAAGGTAAAATCCATACAATTGAATAACTTAAAAAATAATTCTTCACTAAACTTAACTGTCTTTATGCGACCCTTGGTAACTGTCATATCCGCTATACCAATTTTTTGTATGTGTGGAATATGAATGTCGTATAACTAATTCTGTGTCTTGTTCTTTTTGTCCCTGTGTGATTCTGTAGTTTGTTCTTGAGGTAGATATGTCTCTTGTTTCATTGTATCACTTCATTCAGTCTTACTCTTGTGTGTCTTTCTCGTAATACTTGTTTCGTCACTTTGTTTTCCGTAAATATGTTTTTGTTTTCTTGATGTTTTGTTTCCTGTTAAAAGCCGATATTTATGGCTATGCACTTGGTTGTCCAATTGGGGTTGTCAAGTATTTGGTCTTTCACGAGATTTGAATAGTGTTAATTTTTTGTTGCAGTTTTTATATGTTTGATTTTATGTGCAAAGAGAATTGTAATTTGTAAAAGTTTAGATTTATGCATAGATAGTCTTGCTTAAATATCTGATTGATAGCAAATAGATTCATGAAAATATAAGAAATTTACTATTTTTTTTAGTCATATGTCATTAGATCCAACATCAGCCAGTTGTAAATATTTTGTTGATCAATTTTTAATGACCTTGCTTATAGTATTTTAGGTTTCTTATTACATATTTTTGTTATGATTACTTAGTAGTTAATTATTTGAAAGTAAAAGTATGTATAGGATATAGTTGTACAGTGTAGATAGATTTATTACCACTTTTAGTTAAAAAGCATATTTTATCCCTTTTTAACATCCTGTGGTTAATATCCTTCTCTTTAAGAGTGCTCTAACATCATGAATAGCCAGCACAGGTATTCAGGCTTCATTTGAGTTTAATATGACTGAATTAACCTTTTCATTTTCCAATCTTCTGAAACCTCCTCCAACCCGTCGGTCCTGATGATAGACTTAGAAGGTAATGGTTCCCTCTCGTTCTGTTCTCCATCTTTCTTTTTCTTTTTTTTTCTCCCTTTCTCTTTCTATATTTTTTCAACATTTGTTCCTTTTCTTTATTCTGCCCAAGATGAGGACCTCTGCACAGTGGCAATTTCTCTTCTGACAAGCTGCATTGCATTTGATCACAGCCAGTATTTTTTCCATGTTAGTGAAGGCCACTGCTGTCATTAACCTAGAATGAATGTCTGTTGATCAATATGCAAGTTGCAAGTTGCAGATGATGATTTGTGGAAAAGTGTAGATGTTTGTCATTTAATATTTCCAAAGTTTACTTTTTATTTAATACTCTATGAATATTTCTTTTTTTTCTTATTTCATGCTTGGAAACTAGTTTCTGATGTAACAGCTATAGAACAGGAAAAAATAGGGTAATTGTTCAAAAATCTACTTTAGTTTAGTTCTCCCTGATCTGGGATCCTTAGTAACACACTAATTTTGATGTTTTAGGTTGCCGTTTCCCAAGTTTTGTAAATATGTTTGTCATCTGTAAATAGTAGTAAACGGGAAACACTGAAAAAAATATGTTACGTAGGAAATATTTAAAAGATAGAAGTTAGTGTAATGTTAAAGTTAGTGTAGAGTTTGTATTTTAGATTAGATTGTGTTGCATCATATTCTTGTCTGTTGTTGACTTTGTAAATAATGTGTATCTTTGTTTCCCCTTCAACCCCCACCCAATCCTACAACCTTAGCACTTCCTAAATCAGGTAATATTTTTTTTTTCTTTTCATCATTGAGTGGGTGAATAAGTGATTGGGTGAATGATGAGTGAGTGAGTGAGTGAACGAGTAAGCGAGTGCAGTCAGTTACACGTGTGAACTTATGTTGAAAGTTATTTCATTGACAGCATATTTTTTTGTTTTGTTTTTGTTCCATTTTTTAAAGAATTAATGAATAAACATTCTTCATTTGAATAATGAATCACATGCCAATATATATAATTATGTCTTATATAGAATATGAAAATATATTTGAAATATTATATTTTATTATGAACTGTAGCATGGCTTATTTCATGAAAAGAATTATTATTATCATTATTGGTTAATTGACTATTGACTGACATTCTGTAGGATTTTTCAATTAATATTTTTCTCATAATATGAATTGATTATGGAAACTAACATTGTTTTTCTAAATTTATTTTTATAAAGTAGTCTCATACTTTATTTTAACTATACTAAAAAAAAAAAAAAAAAAAAAAAAAAAAAAAAAAAAAAAGTAGAAAATAAAATAAAATTACCATTACTTTTTGAGGACACTAAAAACGGGCAATGAAATACAATAATGAGGAACATAATTAATAATCGACATTGTACTCAACTCAAGAAACTTTATACATGTTAGAGATGACGTAGTACTTGCCATACTTATATCAGTAGTGCACTTTTAAGATCATCTTTGTTAACCACTTTCTTCTCAAGAATAGAAACATGACATCTTGAATGATGCATACAAATGCAGCTTCAGTACTGATACTGAAACCATCAAAACACTTATCCGGGATATTGGCTTAATCAAGAATCCTCAAAATGTTTAATAAGTGGCAGCCTTGATGTGACTGCATGTACCTGCTGCATCACACCGTAACACAACTCCTGCAGTTGTAATGCCAGAGCTCCCTGTGTTTATTTTTAAGTACATATAGTGTAGATGTCACACTGCATGACACCCTCAATTCCTTTGCTCTCTCCATGACATCCAGCATAGCCAAGTTTCAAACCTATTTGACCTTTAGAAAGCATGCAACCCCTCCCTTAACCAGTAGCACACATGACAAGACTAACAGCCAAAGTAGTAGGGTCTGACTATCACAGTTAGCCGTGTGTACCATTATTGTATTATCTAATCCATTTTGACCAATATTTTAATGTTTTCTCCCCCCATCCTCCCTCCCACCCACTTCTCATTTTCATTATGGTTGGCTTCCGTCTCTGGTCGTCCTGCTGCATGACATCACAACCCCTTATATCCTTCTCTCCCTCATATCCAACAGACAACCAAGGTAAAGTATACTAGAACATGTGCTTGTATTTTCTCACATTCAGTTTTTATTCATGTGTTTCATTATAAAAAGTCACAGTGAGTGGATCCACATTTTGCAACATTTATTGTTAATTTTAGGCCATCTGCTTTTGATCTTTGGCTTGTTTGAATTTTTTGTATAAAAAGCAGTATTTTTTTATTTACATGAGCCTCCTTTTTATTTTGCTTTTATTTTGCAGTGCTTTTTTTGTGAAATTCAGTTTTTCCTTGTTTTCATATTCATTTAACTTGTGTTTTTATTTGCTGTTATCCTCATGCTATACATAGATATTTAGTTTTGAATTTGTTTTGCTGGTTAAGAAGCCATTCATGTGGAACCTTTCTAGACAACCAGAAAAGATTCCAAAAAAAGCCTCTTCAAAACGATTAATACCCCACAGATCATCGTCCCCATGCCAACGATATCCCCGCAACAGGATTTAACCGCACACAGTCCACTACAGAATTCCTTCCCTTGGGCGATGACAGGGAAGTGGAGTACTTCTTTGCTTCTGACGCTTCAGCCATCATTGAGCACACAGACCGTGTCATCTACCTTCTGGTGAGACTTCAATATCTTGACAAAAGAGAAAAATATGGACTACTTGATTGTCATGACATATCTTGGGAAGGATGGCTTTATTTTTGTAAGAAGGTTTTCATTTTACTTTTATGAAGGGCCTCATTATTTGTCATTGTTGTATTCAGGATGACGATGTATCCAGTGTAGACACAGAAGGTGTTCTGAAGATCCATCGTCTCAAACGCTCTCTGGAAGATACACATGCCCGTGAAATCACAACCCTCAAGATGGAGATTCAGCAGATCATGAAGGGCAACTTCTCCTCCTTCATGCAGAAAGAAATCTTTGAACAGCCTGAGTCTGTGGTCAACACCATGAGAGGGCGCATTAACTTTGACCGAGAGACTGTTGTCTTGGGAGGCATCAAGGTGCACAGCTATTTTTACTCTTGTTAAAATGGTTTTGAGCATATTTTGCAACAAATTATAAATAATTCTTGGTTAACAATCACTAAATTTATTATTGTTCTGCAGGACTACATCAGTGAAATTCGCCGTTGTCGCCGTTTGCTACTTATTGCTTGTGGAACATCATACCACTCAGCTATTGCAACAAGGCAGTTGTTAGAAGAGCTCACTGAACTCCCTGTTATGGTTGATTTGGCCTCAGACTTCCTTGACCGCAACACACCTATCTTCAGAGATGACGTGTGCTTCTTTATTTCACAGTCTGGAGAAACTGCAGATACTCTCATGGCTCTCAGGTAAGATTATAAAAAACAGTAAAGAAAAGAAGAAGAAAAAACATTTTATTTACATTTCTCTTAAGGATTTCTGTTAGGGGATATAACCTTAAGATTCACTGTCATTTCAGATACTGTAAACAACGTGGCGCCCTGATTGTAGGAATTACTAACACAGTCGGCTCTTCTATCTGCCGAGAGTCTCACTGTGGAGTGCATATTAATGCTGGACCCGAGATTGGTGTTGCTTCCACAAAGGCCTACACTTCCCAGATGATTTCTCTTGTTATGTTTGCCCTCATGATCTCAGAGGATCGCATCTCAGCCCAGCCCCGCCGTTCAGAAATTATTCAGGGACTGCACAAGCTTCCAGAGCAGATCAAGGAGGTATGAATGAGATGAGGTTCTTATATTCATCTTTATAATCCTCTAGTTTTGAAAGGGAATGTAGTGTTTTTGAGAACAAGCCAGCTTATAATTACAAATATATTCATATGTGATTTAACATGATTTTTGTACCTTCTTTACAGGTGTTGAGTCTGGATTCAAAGATTCAGGAGATCAGTAAAGAAGTGTTTGAGAAGAAATCTTTGTTGGTTCTTGGTCGTGGCTACAACTATGCAACCTGCCTTGAAGGGGCTCTGGTAAGAATTTTAAATTATTTAAAAACTGCATATTAATCCCTTAAAGCAAAAATTTAGTGTTCATGCTTTCAGGAAATTTTATTTTGTCTAGATTATGTATTTGTAAATAACATGATACTGATATCTTTGTTCTTGCAGAAAATCAAGGAAATCACATACATGCACAGTGAAGGTATTCTTGCTGGAGAACTTAAGCATGGTCCCCTTGCCCTGGTTGACAGAGGCATGCCCATCATCATGATTTGCACACGTGACAATGTATTTGTGGTCAGTATGACATCCTTTTCTTATGAAGCCATTTATATTAAGAACTTGTGAAGAATTTGGTACTGAAGGTGATCATATACTAAAATTAAGATTTTTTCTGAAAATCATATTAAGAGAGACGTATGCTAATTCAATGCTTTATGGCCCACAGAAATGCATGAACGCACTCCAGCAAGTTACGGCTCGTGAAGGAAGGCCAATTCTCATCTGCCACAAGGGTGATGAGGAACCACAGAAGTATGGTTCTAGTGTTCTTGAGGTCCCCAAAACAGTTGACTGTCTCCAAGGTCTCCTCACAGTCATTCCTATGCAGCTACTTTCTTACCACATTGCTGTCCTCAGGGGCTGCAATGTAGACTGTCCACGAAATTTGGCAAAGTCCGTTACTGTAGAATAAAATTGTCTTGTCAATATCCTGCATTCTTCCTGTGCTCATCTCATTGTTCTTGTATTGATCCACAACATTTATTGTTGGTGAATGAATTATAGCTGTAATATTTGTATTTTTCAAGGTATTAGAGGAAATCTTATATATTAGGGTTGGGAAAATTCAGGCACCAAATATATTGTTGCAGGAAAGAATTTTAAGGTGAGCCAGATGGTATGTAAGTTTCCATCTGTGATTGTTTGATGCTAACCCGTATCTAGGTTGTAATCAGAATGATACTAAGCTCTCTGCCTTCTCTCCATTCCTACAGTATTTCTACCCCTTTTTGAGCTTGTAAATTTTTGGCTCCCAGTTGCTCACTGACCTGAGATGAATTCTAGGATTAATGTATCTATTTCATCCCTAGTGATGGAATAGATTTTCTTTTAAAATTTACTGTAATGAACAAGATTTGATTTTATGACTTATCTAAGTGTCAGTGTTGAGTTCTTTGCCTTGTCTGATTTGATAATTAAAATGACTTAGTGAGCCAGATTGATTCTGTAAAGTATATTGTTTAATGGTGTAACCTTTTCAGCTCACTGGCATCTCATGGTTGAATCTGAGAGTCCTTGTATATATGTATTTATTGTTAAGATCTTTTTGATCAGGCCTCAACTTGTGGCTTCCAAATTGTTGAAATTAATAGAAAGTTTATTAATAGAGACATTTGAATTGAGTGAAATTTGTTAACCCAACACTGATATTCATCTCTAATTTTTTTCATAATTTCCTTACAATCTGTCAGTTATTCAGATAATTTCACATTTTCCTAAAAGCAATACTTTCATTCCTGTTAGATATTATCTACTTGCACTTTGTTTTGTATATGATTTGCACAGAGGATGTACAAAATATTAAAAATGCTACATTATAACTCATAACAGAAAAAATACATTCCCTAAATTGACATTGAGGAAAATAAGAAACTATAATACATACATAAATATCCTATGTATTGTGCATAGTTTACAAATGTATTTGCCCCAGTGTCAGTGTCTCTGCTGAGTCTTTGTATAAATACAGTTTTGTTATTGATTCCTTGGAAAAAGGAACCATTATAAAAAGAGTTGGAATTAAAACCTGCATTATCACACCCTTGGAGTATTACTATTCCCCTTCATGCCATATAATCTAGGCAGTAAAACTGATTGTATGTGAGGTAATTTAGAAGCAAAATGAAATGGACAGCATGTCACACCAAGAATATCCATTGTAACAAATGGAATAAAACTAAATTATAAAATTGAAAAATACATTTTCCTGCTCTTCATCATTCCTTTCTTCCGTCCACTTCCTAAGGTGTGAGAACCATGCTGAAAGGATGAAAGGCTGGCTTTGTGTCAGTCATGAATGACCTCCAGGAGCCACAGGCATGATATTCCCTTGGTTAATCTCCTATCCCTTATCCCTCATGGGGACCCTGAGAGGGAGATGGTTTCCTATCCCCATTTATTTCAGGCTCACCACATGGGCAATAATGCTGATTTTTACCCTTATTAGGGGCATTAAAGCTTGCCCCTTTATCAACTAGCCTATCTAAATTTGATTTCATTGGTTACCTGACCCCTGCCTCTCCTTTGACCTTGATCCAACCACTGATACTAATACCCCCTCCTCATTGTTTGCTGTCAACTCTATCCATTCCAAATCATCCACCTAGGTCATTACTCAACCTTCAGAATAGACCCCTTCCTCTCTCCTCTCTCCAAACTCCATATTCTTCTGCACAGTCTTCATTGGCTACCTCCACCCCCTTATTACGACTCTTCATCCTTATTGTTGTCCTCCCAACAGTACTACCTTTCTCCATACTACCCCATCTTCACTCTACATTCAAAGTATCTACTGAAATCCTCCCACTCACCCAAAATACACCCCATCCTCTCCTCCATGTGCATCACCATTCGCTCTTCCTTTCCATATATCCTTACCACACCCACTTTGATGCTCACGTGACTCCCTTGTATCACAACAATTTCCTTCTGCGGATCCCTTCCCTTCTGACATTCTTCCTGATACTTCACCACCTTTGTCTGTTCTCTATTTCATTCATAGGATTCTTCTCCTACTTTTACAACTATCATTCTTACCATATTATCCCTTGATTATTTCATAATAGCACTTTTGCAGTTCCCTCATACAGTGTTACTCTCCCTTCCTCAGACACATACTCTCCATTTGATCTGATTGCCCTATACCTTTAACCACATTCCCTTTTACTAATTCCCACTGTATTTAATTTGCTCACTCTCCCCTCTATACCCTATCCACTAACATTCTATCCAACAGTTTTCTACAACCTTTTACATCTAACAAATCTTATCCTGATTGTTATTTCCACCCTTTTTGCCACAAAACTCTAACATGGTGCTGTCTCAAAGTTAACAGTTCATTTTAGTCAAGCCAATATTAATGTCAAAAGATGATGTTATAGGTGGACATGCTACTTGGTAAACAAGTAGTTTTCTCTTTTTTTCACCTTTTTTGTCCCCTTTACAGTAAGTTGCCCACTGATGTGTCTGCTGATAATGCCCCCTTGTGTGGACAGGCCTTTAGACACATTCTGCAACTACCAGACAGGTGTAGATTCCAAGATTTTAAACTGTACTCATCTATCAAAGGCCCTCTGGGTCAGCTGGTACCCTGGGGCTGGATTCACTAACACACTCACAGTGGAAAAATTGCAGGTAACTACTGTTATAATTGTAAACAGAGCACCACTAGTATTCATGAACAACTTGCCAACTTATTGTAGATTTAGCAGTATTCGAGCATTAGCAAGTCTGCTGATAACTGCTCTGATGAAGTCCTTGTTTAAGCAAATAATTTTGCTTGCTTTTATAACTGTTAATAGAATAATGGCAAGCATATATTATAATATAAATATAGTGAAATTAAAATATGACTTGAAACTAACAATAATGTCAGCCACAGCCCTATACTGTAGAATGTAACTAGTAGAATATGAGATCATTACATCTATGGATTGTCAAAACATTTTTCTACTGTGATAATTACCACAGGCTGAAAAAACAAAAACTATTAATAAATAAATTGGTATTAGATACTTCAAGGTACTGTAGCAACTTCTGTGCTCTAATAAACTCCAAACCATGTGAGCAAGAATGGGTTTGGACTGATTCCTAGATTGACAATAAATGGTGAAGAATAGAAAAAATATGTTTGAAGTGGCTCCTTTGACAATAAAAAGAAATAATCAGTTTAGACTTGTTCCTTGGTTGATGGTAAATAGTGATAAATGAAAATGATAATGTCTGCTCTGGTTTCTTTTTTGATGATGAATAGCCAATAGTTAATGGTTAATAGTTAAAAAGTAAATAAATATGCAAGACAACAAAGCTCATACCTATAGAAAAGTAGCAAAAAGGGTAAAGAGGGAAGTTAATGAGTTCATGTTTAGTAGTGTAGCATCTTAGGATAGTATTGTATTGAAAAGAGGGTGAGTAAATGGGGCAAGCCAAGTACTTGTAAAAGGAGAATGAGGTAGTTAGAGATGATTAGATTATATGGAAGATATGGGTCTGTGAGATCAGAAACCATCAATATTTCAGTTTAGAAGTTATTATGAAATAATAAGTGAGTGATAAGGGTACAAAGGGGTGTCAGAGAAGTAGGAGGGGAAGAATTGGGAATGAGATACATGGTTTGAGACACATGCTTTGCTGCATCTTGCATCATCAGCCAAGCACTATTGGCTGTGGCACAAGACAGCTTGAGATGATTGGCTGATGGGTGCAAGATGCCAGTCTGGTTCTCCGTCTAAGGTGTCCCAATGTGAGCAACGGGATCAGGAAAATTATTAGGAGAACCTCACATATGCTAGATACATAATTAAATACACTTATTCTCTTAGGCTGGCCACACATGTGCAGTTTTAACTGACAGTTATAACTGAACAGTTATAACTGACACAGTTTAAACTGACGTCAGTTAAAAATGAAATGAACACACACACAGTTCAATCCCTCAGTTTTTACCATGGATTCCGAGGAGTACGATCTTGCCGCTCTCGGTGTATTCTTTGTAATGCTACAAACAAATTGAAAAAAGAAAACTAAAAAGCATAAACAGTGGTGCAAAAACTGGTTACAAAGGCAAAATCAATGTTCTGATATTAAATTATCTAAATTATTAAATCATTTAAATTAAATTATTAACCCATTCGCGCCGGGTAAAAATGAAAAAAAAAGGGAAAATGTTGTGCTCATTTTTTATGTCTTTTAATGAAATATCTCTACACTAGATGGCTCTGCCTTACCTGATTTCACCTTTACTTGAATTGGCGGGAAAATGTATTTTTACTAGTGCTATGAATATCGAATGATCCAGCACAAATGCCAGAATACACACAGGTATTTGTGTATTTGTGCTGGATCATTCATTTACTATGCCTCCTCTACTCCTAATTGCTGTGAAGGTTGTATCATCACTCTATACTATGTGCTTCCATTTCTCAACATCCTACTGCATGTCTTCATTGCAAAAACTCTTTTCTTTCTTTGGATGTGCACAACAATGGGATTATTCTTTGTGCAGTGATACTTGAATCCTAGGTCGTGTAGGTTCCAATTTGCCAGTAAAATGAGATTTTAGCTGACATCCACTTGTCTTTGGAGAACCTTCAATGTTGTTGAGTGGTCTCTTTCATGTGTGCTATGTACTTCTTTTATATCGGCAGAATATAAAAGTCTAATTCTGAGAGTTGCCACTTCAGACTCAAACTTGTAAGTAGGGCAGTCCCTATAATATACTTTACAGGAGCCGCCACAATTGGCATGTGTGTGACTGTGCAGAACAGTTTGACTGATTATGATCAGGTTGGGCATATAGAGGGCTTCTGGTGGTGTAACAGCAGTTTTTGGCAGGAAGGTCTAGACACCAACGATTCAGACATTGACTGGTGGGAGGTTGATATGGTCGGACAGGGAGGAATTCTCTGCCAAGGTAAACATTAAAGGGGTCATGTCTACAGAATGTAATCTTGGCAATATTGGTGGTTTTATGACGGCCTCAAGGGGGAATGATGTAGCATTGTAATGATGCTGCATCTGGCATGCATGCAAGTCTCCACAATCTGACCAATTTTTATCATAGACAAAGCAGTTTGTTGGGGAGATGGAGTTCCAGTACAAGTATTGTGGGTGGAAAGAGGTTGGGCTTGAAGTTTGTCAGGGTTGATGATGCTTTACCTTGGGTTTTGGATTTAACTGTGCCAAGATGGGAACAATCAGGGGGAGGCTGCAAACGGAAACTTTGCTTACTTGTTTTTGGACACATTGCTGGAAGAGGAGAGTGTTGTGAGATGGATCACAAAAAAATTGGTCCCATTTGGCTGGGCTAAATACAGTATTTAAGATGTTTGTAGAGGTGAGAGCAGTAGGAGGATGGGGGCATGTGGAAGACGGAGTAGTGTTGGATAATAATAAGGGAGGATGGGGTAGTTGATAAAGAAAGTTATGGGAGTGGAGATAAGTAGAGGATGTTGGGAGTGGAGGAATGTCTCCTGGAGGTTGAGTGATGTGGTAGCAGGCACTGAGGAAGGAATAGTAAGTAGCAGTGTTCAGAGTTTTGGTCAAAGAAACCGGGAGAATTTAAATCAGTGTGGATATCTGATGAAGGAGCAAGCCTTACTGCCCCTAACAATGGCATAGTCTTTATTATTGGTCATGGTAAGCCTAGAGTATGTTGGGGAGAGAAACAGTCCATCCCTCAGTGTCCCCTTGATGGGCAAGGGTTAGACAACTAAATGGGAATACAGTACCCATGGCTCCTCCAGGCCATTCATGACACAAAGTCAGCATTTCAACACAGCTCTCACACCTTAGGAAATGGATAATAGAAGGGGTTAGAGAAGAGAGGGAAATAAAATGACGAAGCAGAAAGTGAGAGATTCTGTAAGGATGTCTGATAGGTTGGGAGGTCGGTGAAGGGAGGATAGAGGGGGGGAAGCAGAGGTACAGGCTGCTTCAAAACGTGGGCATGACAATAGAAAGAGTGGGACTGAAAGAGGAACATTACATAAGGAGTATAGGGGTTGATCAGATTGTGACATCAGATAGGGATGTGTTAGACGGGTGTGGAAGGGGATGCTTGTGATATAAGGGATTCACGTGTGTATCCAGGAGGGAGTGGAAGGGATAGAGGGGATGGTGGGAGGGTTAATGTGGGCAGGGCTGGAGTCGGGGGGATGGGCTGTGTTGGGAGGGGGTAGGAGGATAGGGTGTAGGGGGGATATCTTTAGGAGGAGGATGGATATTGGCAGTCACTTGGTGTGTGGAGGGAGCAGGAGTTGTAGGATTTGTTCTGTCTGTTGCGGGTAGTGCGGGGAGGGAGAGGGGAAGGTGTTGGGGTTGTAGTGGAGATTGGAGTGTCTGTAGTAAAGATTAGAGGGTCTGGATTTAGAATGGCAAAAGATTTTGACTTGGGAAGGTAGGAGGTAGAAGAGGGGGAGTTAGATGGAGGGGGGGGGTAGGTTTAGGAGAGGGTGTAGGAGCTTGGGAGATAGGGCAAGTGGTAAAATGAGCAATATTACTGGAGTAGTGATTAAGAGAAAAACCTTGTCAACGTGCTTCCTGTCTGGCTTCACGTAGTGTGAATCCAAGTTTGAATCTGAGAGTTGCTACCTCAGACTCAAATTTGTAGGTGGGGCAGAGGTGTTGAAGTTGAGCATGTTGGGAGAGTAGTAATGTCTCTTTGAGGTTGAGTGTTGACTACTGTACTAGTAGGCATTGAGGAGGGGGTAGTTGTTGCAGTGTTCGGAGCCGTGGTCAAATGGTTAATGGTTAATGGTTAAAAGCAAGATAAATGTGCTAGACATCTAAGGTCATGTAGCACTATAGTTAATGTTAGTGAAGGGTGGTTGAGTTAGTGATTAGTTGTCTAAGCTGGGCAAAGGAATTAGTGAGTGAAAGGGTTAAGGTCGGGTGTTATATTAGATAAAGGGTATGCATAAGAAAGGTTTCTTGAAGGCATACAATAGATGGGTTATAAGAGGAAAGGATATGATGGTCAGGTCTTTGGGAGCGGAAACCGCGAATATTCCAATGAAGGATGGTTATACTTTCGTTGATTTAGTGATATAGATTGTAGTACGTGTTGGAGAATTTGAAGGGGAAGCAGCTAGAGGGTGGGATAAGGACTGAGAGGTTTGAGATGGGAGAGGTGTGGGAGTTGGTGTTCTATCAGGAGGGGTATTAGGAGATGGAGGGTCTGAGGAAGGGGATACTTGTGACATAAGGGATTCACGTGTGTATCCAGGAGGAAGTGGAAGGGATAGAGGGGATGGTGGGAGAGTTAATGTGAGCAGGGTTGGGGTCAGGGGGGATGGGCTGTGTTGGGAGGGGGTAGGAGGGTAGGGTGTAGGGGGGATATCGTTAGGAGGAGGATGGATATCAGCAATTACTTGGAGTGTGGAAGGAGCAGGAGTTGTAGGTTGAGAGTTCATTAAGTAATCTTGAATATTTTCAATAGTTTCTTCTGTGGAGTTGGTTGGGGAGTTTTGGGGGATAAAGGATTTCTTGTGAGGGGGGGAAGAGAGGACTGGTGTCTCAAGAGTACGGGCAAAGGATGGTGGGGGTGATTGTGTGGTAGGGGAAGAGGGGGTGGAACGTTTGTTCTGTCTGTTACGGGGAGTGCGAGGAGGGAGAGGGGAAGGTGTTGGGGTTGTAGTGGTGATTGGAGTATCTGGATTTAGGATGGCAAAGAGTTTGACTGGGGAAGGTAGGTAGGGTTAGTGGGGGGGTTAGATGTAGGAGGGGTGGGTTTAGGAGAAGTGTTAGAATGAGCAGTATTACTGGAGTAAGGAGTAAGAGAGAATCCACATCGACGTGCTTCCTGTCTGGCTTCACGCGGTGTGAGTCCGAGTTTGAATCTGAGAGTTGCTACCTCAGATTCAAATTTGTAGGTGGGACAGCCCCTATAAAATACATTATGGGGGCTGCCACAGTTGGCACATGTGCGTGATTGTGCAGAGCAGTTAGATCGGGTATGGCCAGGTTGGGCACATAATGGGCATCTGGCTGTGGAACGGCAGTGTTTGGCTGGGTGTCCTAGACGCCAACAATTTTGGCACTGACGTGGAGGAGGTTGGTATGGACGAACAGGGAGGGATTCTCCTCCTATGTAGACGTTAAAGGGAAGGTCATGTCTACGGAAGGTAATTTTGGCTATGTAAGTGGGTTTCTTTCGATGACCTCTGGGGGGGATGGAATAGCATTGTACTGATGTTGCATCGTAGTCTGTGAGACAGGCAAGTAGATCTTCTCCACAATCTGACCAATCTTTGTCATAGATTGGGCAATTTGTTGGTGAGATTGAGACTGTTCCGGTGCTAGTATTGAGGGTTGGATGGGGTTCTGCTAGGATGGGGTTACCATATAGGTCAGTTAGTTTTGTTAATGCTATGGCTTGGTTTTCGGATGTTACTGTTACAAGACAGGAGCGGTCGGGTCGGCTACGGAAAGAGACTTTACCTACTTGTTTTTGGAGGCATTGTTGGAAGAGAAGGGTGTTGTCAGAGTAGGGAGCTGTGGGAGGGATCACGAAAAATTGGTCCCATTTGGCTGCACTGAAGAGAGTATTCAAGATTGTTTTAGAGATAGGGGTGGTAGAAGGGCGAGGGCGTGACGAAGATGGAGTAGTGTTGATGGAGGTAGTGTTATGGAGAGGTGGGCTATAAGGCTGTAAGGTATTAATAAGGGAGGATGGGGTGGTTGATGTTGGAGGTTGTGGGGGTAGAGGTGTTGAAGTTGGGCATGCTGGGAGAATGGAAATGTTCCTTGAGGGTTGATTGTTGGCTACTGTACTAGTAGGCATTGGTGAAGGGGCAGTTATTGCAGTGTTCGGAGCCGTGGTCAAAGGAGAGCCTGGGGTCGGGGAATCGGGTGGGTTTACTTCTTTAGGGCTATTTGATAAAGGGCAAGCCTCATTGCCCCTAACAGTGGGGATATATTTTCATTACTGGCCATGGTAAGCCTGGTTATGTTGGGGATAAAAACAGTCCACCCCTCAGGGTCCCCTTGAGGGGTAAGGGCTAGATACTAAATCAGGGGAATACCGTGCCCATGGCTCCCTCAGGCCGTTCAGGACTGGCACAAAGTCAGCCTTTCATCCTTTCAGCACGGCTCTCACACCTTAGGAGGTGGATAGCAGAAGGGTTTGGTGAAGGGACAGAAACAAAAGTGGGAAGGGAAAAAAAAGACCATGCATAATTAGTTGAGTCGAGGGCTGAGTCCCAAGGTTGGGGAGTTCCCCATCATTGGGTCCCAGTCTCCGCCTCCTAAGCCCCCCCACGACAACAACGGGCAAGGGATTGGGGGGGTAGCCGTGGTCAAAGGAGAGCCTGGGGTCATTGAATTGGGAGGATTTGAATTGTAGGGGCAAGCCTCATTGCCCCTAATAGTGGAATTATGTTTTCATTATTGGCCATGGTAAGCCTGGAGTATGTTGGGGAGAAAAACAGTCCACCCCTCAGGGTCCCCTTGAGGGGTAAGGGCTAGGCCTAAGCAGGGGAATACCGTGCCTATGGCTCCCTCAGGCCGTTCAGGACTGACACAAAGTCAGCCTTTCATCCTTTCAGCATGGCTCTCACACCTTAGGAAGTGGATAGTAGAAGGGATTGGTGAAGGGACAGAAACAAAAAAGTAGGAGTGGAAAAAAGACCATGCAAAATTAGTCGAGTCGAGGGCTGAGTCCCAAAGTTGGGGAGTTCCCCATCATTGGGTCCCAGTCTCCACCTCCTAAACCCCCCACAGCAACAATGGGCAAGGGATTGGGGGGGTGCAATAGGGTCTAGTCAAATGTCAGTTACACCTGAAAATCAGCATTTTTTTCAGGGACGGTCCCCTTAACCCACTGGATCCTTGCTTTGGTACTTGAACAAAAATTGGAGCATTATAATTACTTCTATGGAGACTCCCAGGTGTGTGGCTTGTAAGCCTAGCCTACATGAATACTCATGTGCAGTATCAGGACTCCTTTCCTCCTCTTTGCTCTTATCCTGGAAATATGTTTTTGCTACATTGACATTTTCTGATTTCTTTATCATATGTTATGTACTGTATGAAGATGCTAATATTTTTATAGAGTATATTCCATATTAACTCTCCAAGTAGATTACATAATGCAATAGCAGTAACCAGTATTAAATTATCAAAATATTTTTGCATTCAAGTTTTGGTTTCACATCCTGTGACACAAGTAATAACAGACAGGAATGAGTTACTGTATGTGGATACAGTGTCATACCTGAAGCTGGTGCTCCCCTAGGTATGGCCCACCCTTATTTACCAATGGAATTATCCCAGGAGCCTCTTCCTGAAGGCCTGCTGAATCAATCTCCTTCCAAAAGCTTTATAAAAGCTTTGAGACAGCCCTATTACCTGTCACTTGTCAATAATTTCCCATGGTGTAACACACTCTCATCATATTAGCCATCAGCCTGATTTTTCCATGACAAGACATTCCTATCAAATGCCCCTCATACAAATTTATCATGATGGGAGATGCCCGTCACCCAGCTATAATGAATTTAATATCAAATAGGTTAAGAAAAGAATGGAAAATCATAGAAAAAATACTATTTTGAAAAGGAAATCATTATTTATATATAATCTTTCAATGCTTATACACTGCCACCATTTTGTGATAAAAAGGTAGGCATTACAATCATCACTGGAAACACTGTTTTAATAGACACTCTCTGGCTTATAGACACAAAATACTAAAATATTGCGATGCATATGGTACACCTTAAAAACAACTTTTAAGAAAATATTAATTGGAATAATGTGTTTCTTATTCACTTGGAATAATACATTCTTAAGTGATCTGCTCATCAACTCTGACAATAGAACGTCCTTGTAGTACAGAAGTTCAAGTTTAGGAAACACAGCCTAAAGTACTACCAACCAAAAGACCAAGAAGTTAAAAAATACCAAATAGCCAATGAAGTACATTCACGGCCTTTTTTTTATATAAGACAATGCAAAAAAAAGACTTCTCCTTCAATTAAAGAAAATAAATATCTGTATAAGAGACTGAACTTTCACTCTTCAAAGCATTATATATAAATATATATCATATACACATTACAAGCTGAAAGAGTCATGAATACTCACATTAAATTATAATACAAGTACATGAGATACATTAAAAGTAAGGAGTATTTTACAGTCCTTCTAAGATTACTTATAGTTACACTCATATCAATATGATACAGCTTAAGATAAATATCACATACTTCAAAATAAATCAATGAAGATGATCACAGGTGACAGCCAACAAAAGTAACATGAATGTATTTCAGGATTTGTATATTCATGCTGAGAGAAGACATCAGAGAAATTACTTTTCATAAAAATATAATGATTTTCAATTCTTCATCACCCAATAACAAAATAACAAGTGGTTACATATTTCTGAGAGATTCATAAATCTATTGATTTTCCTATTACTACTAAGCTAGAATGTAAATCTGCTCAATACCTGCTATTTCAACAAAGTTCAATGTCTCTTGACTCTTTGGTCAAAAAAAATCTTCCACACTGAAAAATAACTACAATAGATGACAAACTTTAAAATGTGTTACATCTTATTGTTATCAAAAGTGCTTTACTTAGGTTTTTTAAATGCCATTGTAACCAACACACTGTTTATATTACTCTATGTATGCATTAGTCATATAAAAATAATCTTCATCAATTAGCGAATTGTATCCAAACTTTCTAAAGCCTTTTATAGCATAAACAACAGTGCTGAACAAAACATGGAATTTAACAGAATACAGTATCTTTTACTGTACTTCTGTGAACATTATTTTAATTTTCTAGTGTGGTTTCAACTACATCAGTTTCCACCAGCTTATTTCCAAACCTCAACTTGAAACTGTGGATAATAAAGGACTCTTCCTCAATATCACTTTTGTATATGAATATGTATACCCACAGATACATCAAAACTATTTTGCAATTCCGACAAAACCACTCTGCTCACTCTGATTGGGCTTTAGTTTTGCTGGCAAGTCTGTCTCTGATGAAGCTTCACGAAGACCTGAAAGGACCTCTTCTGCTTCACCTTGCAGTGCTTCTGCCTGCTCTAGCAGTAACATCTGTAAAAGCATCTATTATAGATTTAGTTTCTTTTCTCTAATAAGACTATCAAGTTACACTATATTTGTCAGTTACAAATAAATACTGAAAGGCAAAGATCTGTTCAGTCAGGAACAATTCATATGCATATTCACTAAAAAATATCAAGTACCATATATAATGGCTATGGTAGGTGTGATTTAAGATTATAGTATTTCATAACAATATTTGACTTAGAAGAGCTGGGAATGTAAGAATGATACTGACCTTAGACTAGAATGTTTTAGATCTTTTATATTTTTTATAGTAGTAATTATAATAAAAATGAGTGAGTAAATAATATTATCATAGATGCAGACTTTGGTAGAAACAATGATCATATACAGCAGTCAGCCTCTAGGGAAGCCTATATATGGAAGATATATATATGGTAAATTCTTTTTCTTTAAGTGGCTTGTACATGTCATAAACTATTAAATATAGTACTACATATAGTGACAATTTCTTACAGAGGTTGAGCCTAACTCTTAACCCATTGGTGACACAATCACACTGACAAAATTTCTCAGACGATAGGTTACACCTTATCACCTCACATGACTGACATCTTAACCAAATGATTCCCAACAGAGGTTATGCTGACCATTACAATGTGTTCTATTACAAAATGACAATGTTCTTAATTTATGACTCTAAGCACAAACACTTTCCAGACACCAACATACTTGTATATGCCAGACTGTACAATGTATAATATACATTGCACAATATATACTTCAAATTTCCCGGCCACGAATATAGTTCACGAGTCTGCCATACCGTGGCGTTGCCGCACTCACTCAGCTGTACACATCACTTGCCTCAGTCGCCTGCCCTCCCGCCATAAACACAAAAGTATCTATTCATGGTGTCCTCGTGTACCGCCAATTTTTGTGCCATAATTCGCTTTACCTGTGCATCAATCCATCAAAAATAGTTATTGGGATTTATGTACTGGCATTCTTAATGTAAACAAAACTTTAAAACAATGGGAAAAAAGGCAATGGAGACCCGACTTTGGATATACAAACAAATAGAGTTACAAACAGCCTCTTGGTCCCCATTATGTTCGTAAGTTGAGGACTTTCTTTATATATATATATATATATATATATATATATATATATATATATATATATATATATATATATATATATATATATATATATATAGGGGGTCCTTTGAATATGAAAAAATATTACAGAGCTTCCTGCAAGGTTTAAAGAGTGGGAATCACTGTCTAAACCCCTTAGATTTGGATGCTTCACTGCCCGCATGTGGCCCAAAATACAGGCATTAGGCATTAGGCCACTTTGTGTGTGTGGCTTGTAGGTCAGGTGCACAGACACTTCTGTATGGTGACAAAACTACTACCTTTTACAATGTCCTTTGTTCTTTGTTGCATACGAATTTTTAGCTTTTTTTTTTGTCATTTTTCAATGTCTATATTTGTCATTTGACTATTTTCTTGCAGTGACCCCAGATTTTAGCCAAAATTCTCATGGTGGCAAGATTGTCAACCTGGTCCTCAACTAAATTATCCCATGATGGCATGTTCATGTCATCCAATCCTCAAGCCATAACATGATGGATCATAGGGATTAAAAAAGATATTAAGGTAAGGTAATGGTAGTTCAAATCTAGAATCTTAACATTAACTCAAAAAGGGGTCCCTGGTGCCATATCAAGCAACATATCAGACTTCACAAGCAGTCAGCTGATTGAATGAAAAATATAAGTCCAGGAAACATACATTTACCCCACGTTATATGCTCAATAGCTGTAGCCAAAATTATTGTTTAGGAAAAAGACAGCATGACAGAATGCTGCACTGCATGAGTGATAATTTCACCATGACATGATAGCATGTCAACTGGCAGGAGAGGGTTAAGCAATATGATATGTAAAGATCAGTATTAAATGAATGGATTCAGCCTGCTTGTGGCCCAAAATCCAGGCACTATTTTAGTGGCACTATTTTCTTGCACATAGTCCATATCATCTCCCTATGCTGTCCATAGATCATTGCATTAATAAGAAATAAAAACTATTTTCTTGCACATAGTCCATATCATCTCCCTATGCTGTCCATAGATCATTGCATTAATAAGAAAATAAAATAAAAGAAAAGAAAAAGTATTATTTAATTTTCAGTAATACAATCCGTGTCACCAGGCAGGGAGGGAGGGGATATGATCCTGAGCATGGAAACAATCCTCCCTGGATCAGTCATGACTCACAGATGGTACATTCCACACTTATTTTTTGATGGAAATAATGCAAAAGGCCCTTCCTAAATGCCCACAGAGTTTAATCCCCCTCCCTGAGTTTTGTGCACTCATGGCGAGTCATTTCCTTCCTGTGACCCCAGATTTTAGCCAAAATTCTCATGGTGGCAAGATTGTCAACCTGGTCCTCAACTAAATTATCCCATGATGGCATGTTCATGTCATCCAATCCTCAAGCCATAACGTGATGGATCATAGGGATTAAAAAAGATATTAAGGTAAGGTAATGGTAGTTCAAATCTAGAATCTTAACATTAACTCAAAAAGGGGTCCCTGGTGCCATATCAAGCAACATATCAGACTTCATAAGCAGTCAGCTGATTGAATGAAAAATATAAGTCCAGGAAACATACATTTACCCCACGTTATATGCTCAATAGCTGTAGCCAAAATGATTGTTTAGGAAAAAGACAGCATGACAGAATGCTGCACTGCATGATTGATAATTTCACCATGACATGATAGCATGTCAACTGGCAGGAGAGGGTTAAGCAATATATGTAAAGATCAGTATTAATGAATGGATTCAGCCTGCTTGTGGCCCAAAATCCAGGCACTATTTTAGTGGCAACTCTCCCAGGTGTGGCTTTTAGGCTTGGTCCACACAAACTTATGTGTGGTGTGGTTCTCTTTATCCTTAATAATATAGAATCTTAACATTAACTCAAAAGGGGTCCCTGGTGCCATATCAAGCAACATATCAGACTTCACAAGCAGTCAGCTGATTGAATGAAAAATATAAGTCCAGGAAACATACATTTACCCCACGTTATATAGCTCAATAGCTGTAGCCAAAATTATTGTTTAGGAAAAAGACAGCATGACAGAATGCTGCACTGCATGATTGATAATTTCACCATGACATGATAGCATGTCAACTGGCAGGAGAGGGTTAAGCAATATATGTAAAGATCAGTATTAAATGAATGGATTCAGCCTGCTTGTGGCCCAAAATCCAGGCACTATTTTAGTGGCAACTCTCCCAGGTGTGGCTTTTAGGCTTGGTCCACACAAACTTATGTGTGGTGTGGTATCTCTTTATCCATGGTTAAAAACTATTTTCTTTGCACATACTCCATATTACCCATCTTGGGAATCCATTTGTGACATTTTAATATTTCTTTGTAATATTAAATTTTCTGTGCCACCAGTCACACCAAGCAGGAATAGGATCCTGAGCATGGAAAGTGTCCTCCCTAGAGCCAGTACTCTTCCAGTCACAGTTCATGGATGTTAAATTCCACTCATTTACTTAAAGAAATAATGCAAAGACCCTTCCTAAATGCCCACCAAGTCTAATCATCACCTTCCATAAGCTTTGAGCATTTATGGTGAATCATTCCTATCTCTCAGGCCTTCAACTAATATTCTCATGATGGAATGTTCCCATCATCCTGGCCCTCACCTAATTTTTTCCAGAACAGCATATTTACATCCCCTGGCCCTCAAGCCAAATTTTTTCACAGCATGATGGCTATATCCCCAGATTCTAGGTTTAATTATTGGTAATGTTCTAACTGATGAGGATGTCAATGACGGTGATATAGATGATGACTACATGCCCCCTTTGAAACTGTTAAGGACAAGTGATTACTCTGGTAAGATTTATACCATTCTTTGGTTTGTAAAAACACTTGGCTCTTTTTACTTTGTGTTTTGGCATCGGATCCCTATTTTACAGAGAATCCATGTTTTTTTTCATATTTACAGATTCAAAGGCAAAGACTCAGATTGGGAGAAATTGTGCCTCTTGTTGAGACATTGCTGGACTCTGACGAGACTCTCATGAAGTACACCAGGTGTCATTGGGGAAACAGTGCCACTGAGACTCCTTCCATTGTTTTGGGCGAGAAGGGAGAACTCTGTCAGCCATCATTGCTTTGAAGGGAATTTTGGTTTTCTGCCTGGATGAAGCTTCAAGCCCCCTGGACATCTCTTGCTTCTTCACCAGGGAACTATTGCAGAAGAACAAGCAGGCAGGGCAGGGCCTGAAGGTCTATATGTTCTGCTCATCTGATGATCCAGAGGCAGGGTATATGCTGGCCTTCAAGATCTACATGGGGTAAGATCACGGGGAGTTCCAAACAAGCATGAAGGCCGTCATTGACCTATGGAGAAGGTAGAGCTGCTTGACATGGGATATGAGTTGCACACAGACAATTGATATTCCTCCCTGACTCTATTCTACTACCTGCAGGCCTGGAACACCAACACAGTTGATACAATCTGGCTTGATGAAGTGGACTCCCACATCCAGTGTCTGGTTGTTGCCAGAAATTTCCCAGTATGCTGCTCCTTGTTTCAAGGGTTACCACAGGTGAAGAGAAGAGTAGCAGCACTGTAAATATGTACATTCACCCCTCCCCCCAATTTGAAAGGGGGGGAAAAAAATTGTAGTGTTCCTACAACAGAAAGCTCACACAGGCAGACTTCAGGAGGGAGATGTTGTAGGGGATACTGCAGCAAGGCAGACACCCTAGATCCTTCTAGTATGTTTCTCCTCAGGAACATCAGGAGGAAGAAGCCCAGCAGACACACATGCCAGCTATTCTGACATTGGAGGCAATGTGCCCTCTGCTGGACTAACAAACACCAAAGGGAGACCAGGGTCATGTGGTATGTCCCTGTATGCTGTCCCTTGTACCAAGAATTACCATCGGTGAAAGAGAGGAGGAACAGCACTGTAAAAACATAGATATTCCTCCCTCCCTCCTGAAGTATTATGTGCACTATTGTAAGCCCTAGTGCTGAACTGCACTCCTGTCCTTGTCCACCTTTATTGTAATAGTTGCCTGTTACCTATGGGTTAAGATGTGAAAATATTCTATTTGATACTCACTAAAAAAGTACTTTTTAAAAGTCTTATAATAATCAACCAACATACCTTTGCTGAGCTAACAATCTGTGCAGCAGTGCGAAATGGCAGGTGGTCAACACATTGAGTCAAATCTTTTGCATTAGCATTTGCAATGTCTTTCAACGTGTGATATCCAGCATTGTAAAGTAGACGTGCCCTGCCCTATAATCAGGAGAGAGAGTAGTTATAGATATGAAAGAGTATTTTATGCAGGTAAAAAAGTATTGCTCAATGTCTAATCACAACATCGGAAAATATATCTTGATTTACCTTTTTCACAGAAGGCAGGTCTAACAGAGGAAGCAATTCAGCTGTGCAGCATCCCGACAACTGACGGGTAAAGTTGGCTAAAAGGTCTCTGAATGCCCACAACTCTTCCAATTCCTAGAAACATCAAGCATTTTATTGTACATTTCTTCACTCAACAAACAATATAAATGATCTAGTTTTATGCTAGGTCTTCCTTGTTTGGCATTAAGGCTTTTGGACCATGCAATGCTGACCTTACCTAACTGAATATGCCTTTCCTAACACCAACTGCGCTTTCCTGAGAGGCATGTATACACCATTTAACCCAATGGTGACGGGTGAAGAAAACGAAAAAAAAACTCTACGCTCTGGCAAACAATGGCGGCGAGCCGGCTTTGAGTGCGTGAGTTCAGAACATCAGCCCGAATCACTGGCTCGCCGTGCTTTGGTGCGCCGCCACGGCGTACAGCCGCTCATCAGCTTTCGAGCACTTTGTTTTCACGCCTGTCAGCGTCACCCGTCATTAATGGGTTAATCCAACAACAGTGGGTTCAAAATGCAAATATGATGTGTCAAAGTTAATCCCAAAATTCTACTTCTAACTTATAAGCTCTATACAATTCCAGTTTATTTTTTCTAATTGAGACTGCTATACAATGTCAAGATAAGAATTTGTTACCTACATTCACAAACACCAATCCCCTATGAAAGCCTTTTTAATGGAATAGGGCTTAAAATTCCAAACTCTGGCATATCATAAATCATAGCAAAAAGGACAGCAAACAAGTTATTTTAATCAGTTTACCTGGCAAAAATGGAAGACACAGGACGCAAATGCTGATGCAGACGACAGTGCTTGCTGTGTGAAGCCCCTGTGTATTCGGAACATTTCACTGGCCTCCCATATACTCATACCAGACCACAGTTGGAAGAGCAGGAGAGCCAAATAAAATCGTTTCAAAACCGACTCCTTCACTTTCTGCAAGTACCCATGAGGAAATTGCATAGATTCAATTAAAACTTTCATTAAGTATATTTCAAAAGGACTGAAGAAAAAAAATATTATTAAGATTTGAGACATTATAAAGTTTGGAACCCCAAATAAAATATATACAAAGAAGTACAGTTATAATATTCCAGAAATATAGATAAATGTCAAGCACTAATCAACAGATGCAAATGAACTTCACTTCTATCAGGTAGTAAGAGCAATCCCAATGAATCTTTTCCCCTCAAGATTTTATAAAATGTGAATTAATGATAACAACTGTACAACTAACCTTTACATTCTGACCCATGCTGATCCTGACCATAACAGCCTCTGTGATGCCCAAAACTTTGGCAACCTTTACCTCATCTGTAGCAAGTTTACTATACTGTAATAGGGAAAATTGTTTCAGTTATTCAGGGATACCTAGGTGCACTACATAAAATTATTCTTTGCATGGTTTGGAAATAAAAAGCATGTTTGTATTTGTGCATTCAGTTTGAAAACTTGGTCAACACTAGAGGAAATATCAAGTTGATTTTCCTCTTCTGATGCGCATAAATCATCATAGCACAGGGATGATAATGATACTGATGGTGATGAAGACAACAGCTGATATCTAATATGCAGAGAAGTCATATGCACCTCTTACTCTAACTATAAAATTTGAAATATAGCAAGTTGATTCTCAATTTTACAAATATCCAAGACAACTGCATTGAGTTCTTAGCATTTCTAAATATCACCTAGATGATTGAATGAGTAATGTTCTGGATTTGTGCTTTTTCCAGGTTCAACTTCCACCCAGACCACAGCATGCTCCATATTGCTCTAGGTACCCGCTTAGACCCTCTGTCTTACTAGACACAGAGAGCTCTGTTAGATACCATATCTAGATTTTCACACACAAAATATATGTATACATAAAATTCTTAACCATAAACACAAAATTACGAAAGTTCTGCACATGACTGACCGCACTGTAGTAAACATCTGGTATGATTTTGATGTTCTCTGCTGCCTCGTATGGGGTCACTAGGAATAAAAGGTGGAGGTGGCTGTTGACGGCAAGATTCTCACGTGCAAGGCAAAGATCCTTGTAAAGTTGTCCAGCTAGCTTCAGTTCAACATTCCCTGTGTAGAAGTAATCTCTTGATACTTTAAGTGATACCTTTCACTGTCATAGTGATTATTATGTTTTAACATTAAATGAACATGCATCCTATATTTGGGCAAGCCTGGTGGGGATGTAGGGCAAACTGTATAGGAATCCCATTCCCACCAAAATCGAGAAAAATGACTCGAGTATTATCAAGATTTTCATTTGAAGAATCTAAAAATACAACTAATTTTTTTTTAAGTAACAAAGGAAATGGAGTAGATCAAAGAGATTGTTTAGTTCCAGTTCAGAAGATGGTTTGATTGTTTTCCACATAAACATACCTTAACAAATCATCAACATAATTTCTTAAATTAATAATCAAAACGGATTATTTGACATACATACGAAGATGATCATGAACATGACTCATTAAAAAAATAAATGCACTTTATCATTTTGGCCAATTATCTAAGTTGACCAGGCAAAATGAATCAATATTACTCATCTTAGTATAAACTAACCTTTAACAGCTGCCCTGCCTAGTCTACTAACAGTAAGTATGTCATTTTCACAGATGGGACGGTTTATAATCTGAGCCATATCATTTTCAAGAGATGGAGGGCTTGAAGAGGAAGAACTGCATATTGTAGAATTCTGGGACTGCTCACTCTGGCGACCTTTGCTTCCTGAAAAAATACCAGATTTATAACAAAGAGTGAAAATGTCTTTAGTATAAATGTATCACTTATAAAGGCTCCTTTTAAACATGTGTGCTGGGATGGCATGACATACATGTCATATGCAAATTATTATGTAGCTAGTTATAACTGATATCTCTCTTTGGCTAAATGTGGGGACATCATTACTTCTACCCTCATTTTAAACCCTATAATTTGTGCAATATTTTACGGTAAGTGTTATTTTAGTGTATTTTCTCAGAATATTGTTCAAATAAGAACAAAGGAGAAAGGAAAAGAAAAAGAAAAAAAGGAGAATAATAATAAGAATAAGAATACGAAGAAAACAAATAAAAGAGAAGGAAAATATATATATATAACTATAATAATGATAATATCTATCCTGATAGCACAAAATAAAAAAAAAGAAAGAAAAGAAAGAAAGAAAAGAAAAGAAAAGAAAAGAAAAGAAAAGAAAGAAAAGGAAAAGAAAAGAAAAGAAAAGAAAAGAAAAGAAAAGAAAAGAAAAGAAAAGAAAAGAAATCAAAGAATCAGGTGAGGTCACATTGACCTAATTGGCTCCTCACAGTGGACAGTACATATACCATGTACTGAATGCAAAATTGTATACAGTGAATGCAGTAAGATGATACTATGAAGAAAGGCTGCTATAAATAATGCATTAACCCAATGCTGCCGGGGAAAATGAATAAAAAATGGAGAAAGTGCTGTGCTCATTTTCTATATTTCTTGTGAAATGTCTCTGCACATTGATGGCTCTGCTAGTGCTTAGCCACAAAGGAGTCAACTAGTAGAACTTGTGACCTTATGTGATTTGAATTGGTGGGAAAAATGTATTTTTTACTAGTGCTAGGAATATCAATGGTGTTATTTTTATTATAAACATTATAATTATCATAATGTTATAAACATTAGTAACAGCAAAATAAGATAATGTAAAATATTTTTGTAAATCAAAGAAAAAGGGTAAACGCACGAGACAGGCAGTACTTGTAAATGGCTCATTGGTGACTTAGTACAAGTGTAGCCATCTATGTTTAAAAACAATCAAACAAGTACTCACAGTGGACATAGCACATACGTACATGTCATGCCCGTCGGCATTGGGTTAATCTAGCCCTCACAAAGACACTGATGCAAGTGATCTATATATATATTCCATTTATAATTAGATATTTATATTACTATGACCAATGCATTCACCTAGTGGCTGCACTAAGATCAGTTCAGGAATTATATTTAACCCCTTGGTGCCGGGTGACGCCGATCGGCGTGTAAACAAAGAGCTCGAAAGCTGGCGTGCAGCCGAACGAGCCGGCGGCGTGCCAAAGCGCGGCGAGCCAGTGATTCGGGCTGATGTCCCCTACTCACGCGCTCAAAGTCGGCGCGCCGCCTTTGTTTGTTTAAGCGTAGAGTTTTTTTTTTCTTTTGTACACCCGGCGCCATTGGGTTAACAAATCATACTCATTATCACCTCTCGTTCCCTATGAAATGATTCCTACATCATCAAAACATTGTAAAATTACACAGCTCTGTACCTGAACTTTCAGCTGCAGCTCCTTTTGATGACTTTGGTTCTGGGACATCAACTTTAATACGAACAAGACCTTGAGCTCTCAGGTCCTCCACAATCTTATCCACCTAAAAAAATAAATTAATAAAAAGGAAAATTATTAACAAAAATAAAACTTGCTTCTACTTTTACATCCAAATAAAACAATACTTAGAATATCACTATACTATGCTCAACATATTAATAGCTACTGGGTTCAAACATGTTGAATAAAACAAGCTTCACAGCTTCCACAGAAAGAAACATCATAATACTTATGCCCTTTATTAAATCCTGACTCCCTGACAAATATATAAACAAATGTATATTCTTTTTATTAATTAATGGTTTGTATTTACTGGACATTGCAGCATTTCAGATTGGTAAGGAATAAGGGCATTTGTTAAAAAATACATCAGTGGTGCATGGGATTATCCTAGGTCACAAATTTGCTAAAGCTGAATGAGATAAAAATACCTATCACTCTTCACTCAAGTAATAATCTACATTCATGATGCTTAAGCAGTCTTACAGACTGTGACACAAATGTTTCAAAATCATATGTATGAAGAAGTAAATCATAAAAAATATGAAATGCATCACATGGATAGCAAAGCATTTTGTACCATAAAACACCGATGAGTCAGCACTTCACCTGCGGCTCCACATCTATGTTCAGCCTATGAGCTTGAAGGGCGAGAAGTGAGCGTCGAGTCAGAGCTTTCAACTGCGGAAGTGTTACAGCTACTCCCAAGCCCAAAGAAGTGAACACCAACCCTGTTAGTCCATGCCATTCTTGATCTGCTAGTGTGGATGTGCAGACTTCAATTGGAGACAGCAAAAGTAGTCCAGCCTGTCAATATGTAGATTTTATGTTATACTCAATAATATATTTAAACAACTAGGGCTTGCTAATAATACATTACTCTGGTGAACTGCATATTTTTTACATAATACTAAAGCTGAAATACTGGTTTCCTAGGTTGTTGTTCAGTTTCCAGGCTTTCCTTTACATGAAATACCCTTTTATTGGATACTCCATGCTGTCGGGTGGATGCAATGTGTTATATGAGAGAGAGAGAGAGAGAGAGAGAGAGAGAGAGAGAGAGAGAGAGAGAGAGAGAGAGAGAGAGAGAGAGAGAGATAGAAAGAGAAAGTGAATGAGTGAGTGAGTGAGTGAGAGATAGGATAGGATCCTGAGCATGGAAAAATTGTCCTCCCTGGAGCCGATGCTCTTCCAGTCACGGCTCATGAATTGGTGGAAATAACAAAAGCAACTTCCAGAATACCCAGTGAATCTAATCACCCTCAAAGAGCTTTGTGCACTCTTGGTGAGTTATTCTCATCACACTGGTCTTTAGCCAAAATTCTCATGACAGCAAGTTGCTGTTACCTCAGCCCTCAGCCAATTTTCTCCATGACTACATGTTCATGTCATCCACCCTTCAAGCTAAATATTTTCATGACATGATGATCACATAATCTGGATTGAACAGTCTAATGATTTATTTGTCAATTAGAAATTTATGCCACTGTTGTGAGTAAGCTATTGTGAATGTGTCTTATATTGAGTAAGTGTGTATGTGTGAAAAGGGACAACTTCACATTCAGTCCTATAAAATCTTGTATGGTTAGTTATTTACCTTTTTTTCTATCTTTCTTCTTCTTCTAAGGGTCTGATTTAAAATCTATCTTCCATCAAATTTATCAAATTGTAATGACAAAAACTGACACTCCTACATGTCATTTTAAATAAGGAACAACTTGCAAAATTGCTATTGGAAATATCATTAACTTTAAACAACTCATAAATGCTCTATAAGAATAACTGTATTAGCACTATAATCCATCACATTCTAGTCATGAATAATTTTACATATATTCTCTTTCATGTAAATACAGTATTATACATCTGTAAATGTGAACATATAAAATTTGATTCATTAGAATTTACTTACTTCTTTCGTGTCTTTTGGCTGGAGAATGAGGAAGCTCTCTCCACATGTGTCAAGGCCTGCACGTCCTGCCCGTCCTACCATCTGCTTGTACCTTGCACGCGTGAGAAAGGCACTCCCAGTGTAAGGTGACCGGATAATTACCTAATTGTCAAAGTACACAATCAAGGTTTCAGAGGCCACTTAAGCTATTAACTGTAGACAGCCAGCATCTATTTAAGTATTTAATAACAGCATAACAAACCCATTGAGGATATATCAGTGAAACACACATATTACTCACTCTTCTAGCTGGAAGGTTGACACCAGCAGCAAGAGTGGAAGTACAGCAAAGGCAACACAGAGTTCCAGCAAGGTAACCCTCTTCCAGGAGTCGTCTCTCTCCTTCTGTTAAACCTAAAATACCATAACTTTTCAGTGCCTATTCTGGGTTTTACTTAGCATCATGATGTACCACAGAATCTAGTATTGCAAACATACTTATCCATAATTTTATTAAATCTTTGGAGGAAACATATTAACTCAGACATAGGTTAAAGTCATGGAGCGAACTCAACAGTGCTGCCAGTTATGATGTGCTAGCAAAGGAGCTCAAGCTCTACTATTCGCCTTTTGTCATCATTTTGTGTATTATACATATGAAAATAATTAATGTACAAAAAGATTATTTTGCAAACTATTTTAATGCCAAGATAATTCAAAACTGACTGGCCTCATATCACATGGCAAAACTTTCCATAAAAATGAGCATAACCATAAATAATACAAATAAAGCCAAACCAACCAGAGTGATGATATGCAACACCATATGGGATGGTCCTCCTCAAAACTGGGCACACAACCCCAGACCCCTCTTCAGAGAGGGCACGGTAGAGAGCCCGTTTATCAGTCACTCGTATCTGTGAATTTGGAGGTTACAAAACATGCTGTCCCGATATGATATGCCAAATATGCCTTTACTGAAATGTCATCTCACACAACATCTCAATAAAATGATTGTACAAAAAATCACTTTTAAGTACTTACTTTAGTCAATCCCTTGGGCAGAATTCGACAAATGAGCTCTGCCAAAGTTTCACAGTTGCGCTTTGTAGGGCAGAAGACGAGGCACGAATGTTCTGGAACTACTTCGCCAACTAGACCACCCACCATATCAATGTCAATCTTCTTCTGCTCTTGAGAGTACTGTTAATGAGGAAAACCAGGGAAAAATTCAAACATCTCAACCTTTTACTGATCAGCCAATAAGATACCAACAACACATAAGAACACAGTGAAAAAACAAATACAAAACAATGCCTAAGAGAAAACCCTGAACAGCATCTCTGTTCATCCAAGTAAAAGATTGGACCTAACAGAAGGAAAGAAAAAGAAAAGAAATGAAAAAAAGAGAAAAAAGAAAGGAAAAAGAAAACAAAGGGAGAGAGAGGAGAGAGAGGATAGAGGAGAGAGGGAGAGAGAGGAGAGAGAGGATAGAGGAGAGAGGGAGAGGGAGAGAAAGAGAGAAAGAGAGAGAGAGAGAGAGATAATAATTTCAATGAAAATGATAGTGATGCTAATATCAACACTAATATGATGAATACAGCTTATTGCCCCCCCCCCCCCCATCTCATCATATGAAACTTTAAAAATTCAAACTCACCGGAAAACAACTCAGACGCTTATTCTTCAACAGATCTTCTTCAACACGAGCAGAGGTGTTGATCTCCCAAATTTGGTTGGTAATCTATTCATGAAAAACAATACATATACATATACGTATATTCAACTATGAAAATATATATACAGGTTTATTATATATATACGTATATATAATATACATGTATATATATATTTATATATATATATATATATATATATATATATATATATATATATATATATATATATATATATATATATATATATATATATATATATACACATTCCCCGTGGGCACTTGGCGGAAATTGATTTAGAAATTCTAAACTGAAATCAAATTATTCCATCTTTCATACATAAACATATACATACATACATACATGTGCACACTCTATAGAATGAGCAAAACAGTTAACACTAGGTGTACATATATATATTTCCACTGTTATGCAAATGAGTTACATAATTCAATTATAAGTACAAACTGTTACAGAACAACTAGTCATATTGACATGACATAAAAAATGTAAAATTACCTTCACGTACTCTGCAAGCTCCACAGGCCTAAAGTTTCCTGTGTATAACTGTGCTCCTAAAAAGCTTGCCAACTCGTTCAGGTTACCCACTGTGGCACTCATCGCAACCAGCTGTACCTTTCCTGACAGAAATTTTTGTCCTCTATCAAAAACAGTTATGAATATATAATGCAAAATACAATGTTAACAATTATACTTAAGCATATTAATTCTGATAATGATATTCTCACAATGATATCAATGATAAAAGTAAGAACATGAGTGCTAATGGGAACAAAAATCAGCATTACAGCAATCTTCTAACATGCACTAAAATACCTACGGGCAGCATAGCGCAACTTGGTAATGATGGATTCCAACATGGCACCACGACCCCCAGGCTCAGCAAGCATGTGGACCTCATCCACTACCACTAGTCCCAACTCTTGCATGCGATCAGTTTCTAGCAGTGCATTCACAAGTCCAGAAGCCTTCTCTATTGTGGCTATATACAACACACTCCTGTTGAGAGTTAAGTAAACAATTTTTAGTACGATACATGTAATAACTATTTCAGTACTTTTCACAGCTGAATGTTATATTTCTTCAAGAGATAATGACTTTATATTAACTACTATTTAATTGCAATTTATTTCTCTGTTAACTGAATGATTTAACAATCACTTTCATAGTTCTTCCATAAAGTAAGTCTACTAAAGAGATTCAGACTACAATAAAACTATTCTTGATGAGTAACATTATGGAAAACTGGGCCTAAATGCAGGGTGACCATTATCCACATTATTGCACTGAAGCTTGCTCTAAGTTGTGCGTGCCATTTGTTTGGCCCTGAATGCAGTCAATGAGGAGATACAACCCCTTAAAGTAAGCTTAAAGCCTGTTCCCACCTTATTCACTAAGTCATGTATGCCACAGCCAAGCACATAGAGAGTGGGTAAGCATATGTTTCCCACAGTTTTAATTTTCCATTTGAACACTACTTGCACATCTAAAGAGCATGACTTTGTATGGCATGGGGATATCCCTCATGACTGGGTTAAAGATATAACTATCAGAACAAAGTAGTGGTAGATGAGTCTATTTAACCCAATGCCACCAGGGAAAATGAATTAAAAAATGGGGAAAATGCTGTGCTCAGTTTCTATATTTTTTTGTGAAATGTCTGCACATAGATGGTTCTGGTTGTGCTTAGCCACAAGGGAGTCATATAATATAACATTATAAACATTAGTAATGGCAAAATAAGATAACATAAAACATTTTTGTCAATCAAAGAAAAGGGTAAACGGGCAAGACAGGCAGTACTCGTAATTGGCTCATTGGTGACTTAGTAAAAGTGCAGCCATCTATGTGTAAAAACAATATAACAAGTAACTCACAGTGGGCATAGCACATACATACACATCATGCCTGTTGGCACTGGGTTAACAACTGACCAGAAAGCAGAACTGAAATCTATGGAGTAAACACAAGCCTAGCAAAAAGAAGCATGTGTCTGCTATGACTAGGTGTCTTTAAGGGAGCTGCATCAGGCTTAACAAGCCCAGTACTGGCCCAATAAGAACTCCTTGGCACAAAGAAAGAGTCCCATAAAAGAGTTGGAGCTGTCATCTCTTCCAGTATGGGTCATGGACAGTAAATAGTCATGCAACTCTTATCCCCTTGCTGCCTTCACTCTCCCCACAACTACAGATGGGGGAGCACAATTCCTACACAAAGGAAGTAGAGAAAAAGAATGAAAGAAAAACAGCAGAGGGAGATATAAAACCACCTAAGTATAATAAGCTTGAGAAAGCTGGATTAATATCAAATTCAATGTTTCCAAGAGACATATTTGCATGGACATTATTGAAAGGAACTCATACTGTATATAATTTGTGTATATATAAATGCACTATTAATATGAACTGGACACTGCAAGGTGGCTGAGGCCTGTGTCTCATGCTTAATCTGGCACTTTACCTACTCACAAGACTTCCCCCCCTTGCTATTTCTAAATTTAACCTCTTGATGATAAGCTGAAATGCAACAACAAACTGAGGGTAGGAGTAGGCCAATGATATGAGGAGACATCCTCACCACTGCAAGGAGAGGATGTGAAAGCAGAATGCAAACATCTCTCACTTCAGACTTACTTTCTGTCAAATGTATACACAACCCTCCTAAAATGTCCAACACTCACTCTGGCAAGATTGTAAAAAAAAAAAAAAAAAAAAAAGAAAGAAAGAAAGAAAAGAAAAAAAAGAAGACCCAAGTGCTTAATATCCTAGTACATTTTTCCCGTACCACCTAACATCCACAGATACATACAACATCCCAGATACATACAAATGTTCCACATCTCCCTAGCTCAAGTGTGAAATCATAATGGTGACTCTTCAAAGGAAAACAGGGATTTATTTAAACAAAGATGAGCAACAAACAACTAAAAGTACATAATAAGAAGAGATTATGAAGAAGTCTTGACTAATAAAACTGTGTAAGGTAGCAGACCTCTGCTAGACTTGGAACTACACTAAATAACTAATTCATCTGGCCAAGTGATGTCTAATCACAATTTGATGAAAACTTCACTGGTGCTGGACAACATCTACTATTATGAACTTGGGTCCCAGCAACTAAGATGATGCCTTAGGAGCCTGGCTGTGAGTTGGATAATAGCCTAAACACTGAGGCATGCATCAATATATTCCAGCCTTGCAAGACTTTGTTAAAAAAATAATAATAATAAGTATTAAGCATTTTTAAGTATTAAGAAGCCATTGTACTATACATGACTGCAAAGCACAGTAAAAGAGTAAAGTGATAAAACATGCCATATTTGGAATAATTTCACATATATTGACTCACATATTAAAAGTTGTTCACAGATATCAAGAATTTCTAAATAACTATTTTTCAAATGAGGCTTGCAAACTATACAAACCAAAAACTACTAAGCTGAAAAATTGGCAGGCATACTGTACAGGTAAACTCTCTTTTTTCATATATAAAATTTCTGGGATATAGCAATTCCACTACCTTCTTATTATAGATTCTATTCATTATTTAACTGCCTTTATTACTGGCCATTAACTCTTCACATACATATACAGTACGTACTTCTTTCGCTTAGCCTTGGGAGGGAATGATCCACGGCTTCCAGCATATTCTTCAATAAGAAACTCTAGCTCCACTCCAAAAGGTGCCAGGCCACGTACCTTTGTATTAAACAAGAATATGAATAAAAGAATGAAAAAATTGATCATCATAGTAAGTTACAACCAATAACTGTTTATAACCTAAGACCATTAACATCAACACTCAAAAAGCTGTGTAAACAAATATTACATCATAATTGTCTTCAGGCTGCATAATAGACTAAGTGATACAAACTTTTTCTTGGACAAGAGCCACATAGGGAAGAATTAGAAGAGCATTTTGTTTTTTGAGTAGCAACTGCCGCAGCATCAGCACTTCTGCCACCAGAGTCTTCCCACCACTTGTTGGGAGGGAAAAGATGAGGTTTTCTGATCCTGAGCCTTTAATAATACACTCCTCCTGCCAATCTGAAATATGGACAGCTATTCTAATGAAATGCTATTACTAAATTTAGTTCTCAGTAAAGAAAAGCATTGATGGCCTCTCAAAAATTAATGGTTCTTGAAGTTGATGTCAGTGTGAGATGCAATTTTCATTAAGTTATACATGATGTTCAAGTATAAAGACTGAAGTTGTTATTGCGATGTATTTCTGCATAGACTTGTAAAGAAAGAATGCAGAGTCTGACAGTACTGGATATCCTCTTATTTTGTCTTTAAATGGTCTAACAAAACACTAACCATAGAGCTTTGAAATGCCACGATGGGCACTGAGCACATCCAGCACCTTGGAGGGCAGTCCAAAAAATGGACCAAGTTCAAAGTCATCATTTAAGTTTGTTTCTACAGCTTCCATCACTGCAGCGACAACTTCTGCTCGACGTTGTGTAGTAGTCTTAATGGGTGCTACAGATAAATTGGGAAAAAAATGATTCTTTCAAAATCAATACATAGACATAGGAGAGCTAACATATTCATTATAGATAAAATCTTGATCAATATATCTTAATACATGAGTCACATAACTTCTATACCAAATGTATGCATCAAAGAAAACAAAGTAATAAAGTGAATATAATGTATTAGCAATAAGGTAAAGAAAGAAAAGAAAAGAAAAAGATTAAAAAAACAAACTCACCATCAGTCTGATCTGAAGCCACTGCATCCTTAAACCTGTTCTGAAAACGATCCAGAAGAGGCTGAGATCCCTGTGTGCTGATAAAACTAAGCTGCGAGTCCGGAGAACCAAATGAATCTCCTGATTTATTGTGTGGTGCTTGTCCATTAGAGGTTGAGGGTGATATCTCTTGGGTTGTATTATTCTTAATATTAGCTGCTTCATGACTAGAAGTGGATTTCACTACAACCTTTGCACTGGGCTTAATGAAATCTTGAGTGTTATGTGAAGGATTACTGCTATCATCAAAATATGCTTCATCCAGGCATGACATTTGGGTGTCTGTGAGGCCAAACGTATCATCAAACTGAGAGTCTAACTGCTCTTCCCCAAAAATATCTGGTGAACTTCTCCCAGAAATCTTCTTGGAACTCGCTTTTGTGATAACATCATTTGTCTGGTAACTACAATTAACACTGGATGTAGTATGTGGATTGCTACTATTAGTACTACAGCTGCTTTCTGGAATAATACTTCTCTCATACACTGTGAATTTCTTTGGATCACTAGTTTTAACAATACACTTATTAACAATTACCTTCTCTTTACAGAAGTCATCTGACATTTGATTTCTAGCTTTAGTGATAGCATTTTGATTGTTGCATACTCTTCTTGGTGGCTGAATGTGTTCACTTGAGAGCTGAAGGTTAATTCTTCGTGGAGTTTTGCGTAATAGATATGGGCTTGAATTTAAACCACTGTTAGACAAAGGAGTTCTGTTGTTATTTAGAGCCTTTGTCTTTTCAAGTGGAGTTAACTCTAATGATGAGCACAAAGAGTCCAGTTCATCAAAATTGACACTTTCTAGGAAGGAGTCCTCATGATTCATGAATACAGTTGAAGGGCTGTCAATTTCTACAGACTTTCTTGACCTTGGAGTTGTACTTTTTGGTGAATCTAACATCATCTTGGTAGTTTGCCTTTCATCATGTCCTCTTGGTCTCTTCCTGGAGGGTGTGTTCTCATCAGTTCCTACACCAACCCCACACCTGACTTTTCTTTGACTCCTAAGGACAGGTGACGACAAGGGACTCCGAGAGGATTTCTGCTGTATATTTTTGGGGCTTGTGGAAAGACAGGTGTCATTCTTACTTATCAGTGCATTGCGAAAAACTGATTTTCTTGACAGCCTTTGACTTCTAAACACCGGGGATGACATGATCTTCTCCCTAGCTTCCCTATTCATGTTGGGCATTCTGGAGTATTGTGATGTAGTGTGATGCTTACTGTTTTATCTTTACTTGTTTGTGATAGGATGTATTGCGAGGTTGGGAGGTAAGTGTTGGGATATGGGGAAAAGCTTTCCTCCAATCTAATTCCTTGCGACTACATTTTTAGTGTGTCTAGTACATTGTCTTGATTTTGTTGTAGTCTTCACTTAACCATTTTGCAAATGTTCTGTTCTTGCCATCACTGCATAATAAT